AATTACTCTGGTGGCCAGGCCCAGGTCTTAACATATAAATTACAAATGCATGCTGTCACTTGCGATATTTTTTTTTGAAGGACATTATTAAGTACTAGCATAAATGCCCGTGTATTGTAATGGGAGAAACAGTAGTGTGTATTTTAATTTAGTGACAATTATATGTGTATGCAGAACCCTGTGTGCAACTGTGCACGCCGAGAAGGAACATTTAGGTTATGGGTTTCACTGCGTGTGAAGTAATCAATCCGCTATTTTTTTGTTCATTAACCTAGGGGATTTAAGGGTTTTGTTAGGACAAGGCCAGCGAATTATTCACTGTTTTTTCGTTCGCTCGAGGGGATTTTGTGGTATGAAGTTCCATAACATGGAAATGGGGCGGGTCTTTTCTTTCCAATATTCAAGCCATCGATATGGTACAACCGGAGTTAATTCCACTCCACTATTTTTCCGTTCATTGATCCAAAGGATTTAAGGTGTGAAGTTCCATAATATGGGAGTGAGCTGGGTCTTCTCTTTTTCATGCATCTAGCTCACGTAGTCGGGTCTTCTCTTCTCTTTTCCTCGGGTAGCAATCCTCAAGAAATTCAACGTCCTTTTGTAGCTAGTTCACGTAGCAGTCCATCCATCTAGCTCACGTACTGGAGTCAATTCCTTTCTAAAAACAAATCCAAGGTCCCTTTTCCTCATGTACCAATCCATCCATCCTTCATCCAGTTTAATTCATCTATTCTTCGTACAACTTACTACATGCATGCAGTTTTGCACATATATATAATTTGGTACGATTGTATGTAAACAAACAATGCGGGGTTATTTAAAATATTTTTCCTTATTTCCCAGGTAGTTGGGCTGGCAAGTTGCATGCGCTGTGAAAGTCCTAGGCACCAAAACGACATGTGTTTGCAACGTGCGAGTATAAACATAAAAAGAAAGATGAGTTGAAGGATCAAACTCACAATCTCAAAGACTAGACAAAATGTTGCCAGCCACTCGAACAAACATGCCTTATTAACCTATGGCCCGGGCAAATATTTAATAACATACTGCAACATCAGATTCGAAACAAATTTTGTTTTTCTCTTGAACATTTCAAAAAATTTAATTATTACAAATAGCCAAAATTCTTGGAAACATGAATAGTTTTTGAAATCTCGAACAGTTTTTCAAAAATTATGTACACCTTTTAAAAACACGAATAAAATTTGAAAAAGAAACATACTTAAAAATTCACAAACACAATTTGAAAACATGAAACACATTTTTTTATTTTGTGAACAATTTTAGAGAACTGGAACATGTTTTCAACATTCAGAACAATTTTAGAAAATATGTATCTTTTTAAAGTGCAAACATTATATTGAATTTGTGAATATTTCACTAAAACAAAAATATTTTTTGAATTTGGAGCATTTTAAAATGAAGTTTTTAAATCTTGAACACTTTTGGAAAACACAAACAATTTTTTTAAATGGGACAATTGTTTTCCATTTTAAGAAATTTAGGGTGCATTTGCAGCTAGCTCACCCACCAGTCCATCCATCCTTCGTCCAATTTAATCCATCCATCCTTCATCCGGCTTATTATTGCATGTAGTTTCACACACGTATATATATTAGTATGACTACATGCAAAGGAGCAATGTGGGACTATTTAAAATATTTTTTCCTTGAATTTGTGAATATTTCACTAAAACAAGAATATTTTTCAAATTTGGAACTTTTCTAAAATGCTATTATTTTTTGAAAATCTCCAACAATTTTGTAAAACACAAAAAAATTGAAAATAAATTGGTACATCTTTGAATTTTAAACAAATTTTGGGACGAGAAAAAAAATTAAAGTTCTTACCATTTTTCATAACCGGAACAAAATTCTAGAATTCTGAACAATTTTCAATTTTTTTTATTCTGAACATTTTTCAATTTACGAAAAAAGTAAAATTAAAATAAACTTGAATGGCAAAAAAGAAAAAATGAAAGAAAAAGAGAAAGGAATAGAAAAATAAAAGTAGAAACATATCAAAAAAGAGAGGAAAATGGACCAACCAATCTTGCGCCTTGTGCGAAGCTCCAACTATTTGTTGTACGCGTGGCAAATAGGGTTTTCCCAGCTGCGTTGGCAGAACAATATATGGGTTTGGTTCGCTGGGCCACAGCCCGCGGCCCACGTATGAAATTCTCGGGAAAAAAAAGCAGATGCACGCACAAAAAATTAGTGCCACCTCGGAGAAAAAAATATTTTCGACAGTGAGCGGGTGAAAGAAAATCCAGAGAAACACACCTTGCTTTATTAATAGGTAGTAGTGGTAGTAATAGATATAGATGTTCACGCGGATAAATGGTTGTACCGACCAAAAATTCATTTTGAATTTGAATTTAAATGCTTCAACTAAATAGGATGCAAATGTGTAGAGAAACACAACACTCGCCTTGCCGTGGTGGAAAAACTTTACTATTGCTTTGTGAGTCTTATCTTTGGTGCTTGAACTGTCATTGGCATGTGGGCTCTAGGCGGTAAACCCCCACAAACTACATTGAAAGAAAGTAGAGCAGTGACAAATATGCCACATACTGATTTGCATAAATATTATGGTACCTAGTATGTATCAATAGTTAATAATTTTTTTAATTTCAAAATTCATTTGAATGCTTTTGGGTGAAAAAACAATTATTTTTAGATTTGCTGGAGTCGGTTCTTCCAGTCCTTCCCAGAGAAATGGTATCGGGAAATAAAAATTTGATTCTGTGACGGTAAATTTAGCGTGACTTTTCTAGCTATGAGGGTGGTTCTTCTTGTTATCAGGGCATTGTGAAAAGTCCGGAACTATGCATGTTTCAGAGGGATTTTCCCTAAGGATCCTAGTAGTATAGTATTGGAAAGGAGCGATGAAACTTGTGGCTCGTTGGGGCATCTCCAAGGGTGTCCTCTACTCTGCCCCCATATGTCAGGGCAAACAGTCTGGAAATGAAAATGGCTGCCCAAGGGCTCCACTAAACCTAACCAAAATGTCCGAACGGTTTGCGCAATGCCTCAAATCTAGCCCATACACGGGGGACAAATGGGGTTGTCTGAATAGCCCACCAAATCGGCCAAACAACCTGACTCCATTGTTATATTTTATTCCCCTGCACTCTCTCTTACTCCACTATCTCCATCTCCATCGCCCGAGCCTAGCACAGTGAAACCCTAGCTGACTGCGCCAAGTAACCAGGAAGGAGGAGGGCCAGGACGAGCGGTGTGCGAGATGGTGGGCTATGTGGCTCCTCGGCGGCCTCTAGTCCGAATCGCTACCATAACGGGTCGAAACGCTTGATCCGGCTTAAAAATACGACGTCAACAAGGCACATGTCCTCCAATGTCAGCTGGCTTCGCCACCCTCCCGCTGCCTGTCGCCGAGCCCAACCTCGTCCCACACCATGCCCGTGTCTCTAATGACGGAGGCTCGAACAACACGAGCTCTGATGAAGGGGTGAATTTGGAGTATCTCGAGCAGGAGTCCTCCTAGGAGGAGGTCGACGAGGCGCCCCCGATGGGCAAGAGATCCTCTCTGCTCGACGTGGAGCTATTGCAACGACACGACATGTCCCCGCCTCGTCGCCGGTGTCCATCATCCCTGCCTTGGCGAGCTAGTTCTCAGTTCTCAGCCTAACATCCTTGACAAGAATGAAAACCTACACGTTGAAAAGCACATAGGACAATTGATAGGGAATGTAACAGATAAATTCTTGCCAATGATTTTATTCTTGATGCAAGAGGATCATGTTTATCATCTCACGTCTACCATGTGTTATTGCCCCCTCGCATCCACTCTGATCCTCTATACCAGCCATCCACGGCTCGGTTAGTCTGACTTTGAATGGCCAACACACCTGCGTCGTGCATGCGGAGTATGAGTGCCGGACGCAACACAACAAGCCAATGAAGAAGGAGGTGAAGGAGAATGAGGCTGACCCCTCGAGGGTGATCGAGCTCAAGTAGGAGGATGAGGATGACGACGAGGAGGACAACAACATTATTGGGATAATCTCAGTGGCGAGTTGTAGTCAGTAATTTAAATGTGCAAGTTTGTAGTCGAACTATGTTTAGTACTTTGAATGTTTGGATGTCTGGATTGAATCTATTATATCTAAATAAGAGCTCCCATTACCTTATTTCTCTTGATATGCAAGCTATTCATCTAAGTAGTCTACCACGTCATCAATTCTCCACCCACCCACCCGAGAGACATGCAGCCTTCCACTCTCTACGCCCAGACGATTTTCTTCATGCAGCCACATGATTTTTGCACGTCGGCTTCCCAGCCCATATTAAAAGGTACGTACGCGTGACATTCTAGGGTTCTACCTGCACCTCGGT